GGGGGGGGAAGATAGTGTTTCAGCTAGAGAATCTCCTATCTTGTTGGACACAGCCCACTGGGTAACACATTGTTGTGTCAGAGGCTTCAGTTGAGTGTGCTTAAACATTCAGCTAGATATTCACAACTGCAGATTAATTTATCAATGTAAACCAGGGATCTATTTATACAGCAGTTGTTCTGCCATTCGTACAGTGAATATTTGCTGTACGAATGGCAAATATCAATGATGAAAATAGTTGCCAACTATTCTCATCAATTTAGTCGATTAGTTGTTGCAGCTCTAGTAATGCGACATATGGGCGAATCTTGTTTGAATTTAAACACGATGGGCAAATCTTGTTGGAATCTCTGTGGATGTTGATGGGCGAACCTTCTTTAATGTGACAGGCAGATCTTATTGGAATCTATCTATTACTTTGAATGTGTCTGCTGGTGGGTGAATTGTTTGAACAGATGGGTGAATTTTCTTACAATTATTAACTTTTAAATAATGGCATTTTGGCTATCATTTTCAAAGGGCATTCTCCCTGTTCACTTGGGTAAATCAGTTTTGAAAATCCTATCAACAGCCACATACAAGAGATTCCAAAATCTGCACATCACATTTATATGCAAACAAGATTCACTCATCAACCACACTACACGTAGGACAAATCCTCCTTGAAAATGAATTCCATAAAATACAGACAGACAAATGTCCAGCAAACATTTCCTGTTCTTATTGCACATTGAATCTTTATTAACAGTCTCGTGTGTGTGTGTAATAATATTGGGCATATCAACGCCCCCTTCACAGGTACGGGGTATGATCTTAAGTACTCCTGACTGATGCTGCCGTCAGGTGACCATTCTGAGCCAAAGATTGTGCGCATTTATAAATGCAGGAAATATGTTTTCCAGTTGCCATTTTTATTAGCTATGCTAATGCCAACTATTTAGAGAAACGCAAAGCTCACTTAGGGTGTAGTATTGGTGCTAGTTTAATAATACATAGGTCATGCTTTTAAGGTCGTTATTTTCTTCCGTTACAGATTGCTGCTCTCCGGAAATTGCAAGCAAAAGGGCAAATGCCCACAAAAGAAGATCCTAACAGTATCAAGAGAAAGCGTTCCAGCTCACTGGACATTGAGCAAGTGGCTGAAAGGGCAAATGGAGATTCCGTGTCACCTGAAGGTAATCTGCCCTGACTGACAGCCTTCAACACAATTGCAAGCAATCTGTCACGGAAGCTACCATTATTTGAGTCCTTTGCAACATAAGCGAAATTTCTGACCCAAAACTGTTCTAAAACAGACCACAGAGCTGCATACTAAACTACTTTTAAACTCGTAAGACTTATCTCAGGGCAATTAGGATGTCTTATGTTTTCTGGGGCCACTGCAGACAATAGAAATTATCTTTGCCCTGGCTATAAGAGTTTGGACATCTACAGGGCTAGTCACATAAGGGTGAAGAGTTTGGAGAAGGCAGGAGACGTGAACAATCTAAGACAACTTGGCTGTACTGGACAGTGAGCTGAATTGGAGAATATTTGTAAATCGGCTACTTTGTTCTAGATTGTTCACTTTTGCCTTCTCCAAACTTCACCCTTTTATGAATAACACTGTAAATTACTGTTGGTGTTTTCTCAACTGTGGGCTTAACAAAAACAAGGAGATCACTGTAATGTCAGAGGGTCTAGTTGATTGCAAATCTGTATGCAAACGTAAAAATTGCTTGCGTGGCCAGCATGTATCCATTAGAAGAACTCTTCACTAGTTCTTCTTACCACACATCTTTACTGTGTTTTTGCCTGTTATGTTGTGTGCATGGTTTATTAGGGGGGGTTTTTTTTCTTCTTCCTTTTTTTTTTTTTTTTAATTATTACCATCTTGCAATAAGGGTGTTGCCCAGGGCTGTAGGGATGGAAAGCCTCCTTCGGCCAGGACAAATATTTCTGAGCTCTTCTGTGTCCTCCAATAAACCTGTACCTTTTAAAAAAACACCTGCAACGATGCATTGCTTTCACCAGTACTGGCAGTGGCTTCTACAACCTTTAGGACTTGTTCACTTCAATTACAAGTATCGCATACTAAACTCTCCCCAGCATTTTGGGATGGGAGGGGGCATGCAGCAGGGGGCGTGGCTGTTGGGCCATTTACTTGACTGCAGCGCCACGCCCCCTCCTGCCTCAAAACGCAGGGCGGAGTTTAGTATGCCATACAGTGCGTTCCAGCAGCTAACCGCGCTGGAACACACTGTAATTGGTGTGAGCAAGCCCTTAAGCAAATAAGGGCTGCACAGTTTAGCTTTTGGGGAAACCTCAATGTCCTGGTCTGCGTGACATTGTGACACCATGAGATTGTTCTAACTTTTTGGCTGCTATGACATGTAGGACACGTCCTTTGTAGTCAAAAAGGGAATTTGGCTTGAATCCTAAAAATGTGTTCTTGAATGTCCACTACTCTCTTGAGCAATTAGCATGGTGTATTGAACATTTAGTGTGATTGCTTTTTCCAGCTGATGAAGAAGAACCAGCCACGAAGAGACAAAAGGAACAACTTGCTTATTTACAGTCTGAGGAGTTCCAAAAGATTCTAAAAGCCAAATCAAAGCATACAGGTGTCCTGAAGGAGGTAATTGGTGTATTTAATTTTTATTTTTTTTACGAAATATTCCCGGTATTTTGCTGGAGATTGCAAACCTCAGAGGTTGACTAGATCATCCTATTAATGGAAACACTCAAGCTCCCTTCAGCTTTAATTGGCACATTAGGCAATGAGCATAAAAAGTTGACTTTTCTTTTTGTTCTGTTGTTATATTGCAGATCAGTTATTTAGTAGGATATGGTTTATTGGGATCTTCTTTTTATTTTTTATTTTTTTTTAGTTTGTTAACTGACAAAGCAAACATAACATAGAAACAGTCATGAGCATTGAAACCTAGATTACAGAAGCTACCGCAAGGTCACATTTAATTCCAGTAGAAGCATTGTATGGATACTTGACCGTTCGGTTATCTTCAAACATAAGTTTACTTGTTTGCAACAAAAAATCTGCGCTTTTGGAAAGTAAACTAAAAGTCAAATAATTATCCTAAAGCTGCTATGAGAGGTGTAAAGTGAAAGTGTTAAGTGTTGTCACAGCGCTAAAGGTTTGAGATAAATATGAAAATATGTGAATATATATGGATCAAAACATGAGTGACACCGTGTGTGTAAGTCTTCAAAAAAACCTACCAATAATGAATATAAAGTACCATAAAAGGACTGAAAAAGTGCTGATGTGCAAACAATCAAAAGGTGTTTACTTGTATCGTATATTAGCATCTGGTGCGCATATAGTAAGAGAAATTCTGCAAGCAATACAAATTTGTGTTGTGGCAGTTGTGACTTCACTAACTCAGGGAGTGCTGATCAGTTTGTATAAAAGGGATATGGCATGTCGTGTGGGCACAGTCCCCCTACACATCTTTTCATAGTCCGTAAGAGGTCTATCTAGGGCTTGGGGATTTGCAATAGCCCTCAGGACGTGTTGGAGTTGCATGACACTCCAGGAATCATGATGGTGGTCGAGATCAAAGGATGGTTCCGTATTATTGGGATCTTTTAACCGTCAGGAAAGGACATTTGTAAGAATCTGAATCTTCGCCTGTTATATTGAAACCTTACCTTGGTGTATGCCCTGATATTTCTTGGCAGAGCAGAAATGACAGGCTGGAAGGTGCCGATGGTCTATTTTTCCTGCCTGAGTTAAGGGTGGCTGACTGACACCCTCTGAGCTTCAGGAGGCGAACAAAACTCAATTTAAAAAAATATATATATTTTTCATGTGTTTTATTCTATTGTTTTGTTTTTGCTTTTTATCACTGAGCTCAGTCAAGAATTAGGGCAACTTTTGCAGCCCACAACTTTTTCCTGCTCTGTTAGGGAGAGAACACGGAATCAACAAGTGATCCCTGAGTGGTTGGTTAGACTGCATTGTAACATATTACAAATGACGATTCAGAATAGATACTCATGGATAACTGGTTTTATTTAACTACGAGTCCCCTTTGCCGTTTTAAAACAGTGCTGGGAGAGCTGCTATTCATCTAAGTGCCGTTTTAAAAACAGCACCAGGAATCGGCAATTCCCAGCAGGAAACGATCAGCTCCTGGGCTGCCCATAAGTCTACAGATCGCTCCATAGGAGCATGCTGTAGAAAGTAATGTATTCGTTGTTTACATTGCATCATCGCACTGCCTGTCAGCACGGAGCCTGAGCTGGACCTGTTGCAGCTCTGTCCAGCCTGTGCATATAATCTGAATAACATTTGAGTTCACTGCACAGACTTCAAATACTGACATAGATGAACACAATAAAATGTGAATCTTTAGCAGTCGCAGACCTATGAACAAGTAGCTGTCATGCTAATTTGTGCTCTCGCTATTACATTTTATTTCCTATAAAACCCAAGGAAATAATATAGGTATCCGAGTTAAAGGCCAATGTGTAATGTGTTAGGGCAGACTACAAAACGTGTGTGTGTGTGTGTAACGGACACCTCTCCAAAAGGGGGAAGGGGGGGAGGTCTGGGACTCGGGTTTTAGGGAGAAAAAGTTCCAGGAACTCAAGTTGTGAAGAGTACATTCTAGGTAAACTCTAGTACAAATGAATCCTTGAAGTGCTTGCATAAGGCACAGCCTACAGGCCCATGGCCTTTGGTTTTGCTCGGTATAGCTATACTGAACAGGGGCACCTCCATTATTTTTGTTTTTGATCTGGGAAAATCGGGCCAGGTATTCCCAGTCCTGGCCACTGTATTCTTCCTTTTAGATGTAGGAGATTTGACTTGCACAGTAGTAGTGTTTTCCAGATATTATTAGCAGTTTGCTCATTTCACTTGTAGCTTTGAGTTTGTAAGCTGTAACTGAATTTTATTCTGATTTTAGGCTGAAGCAGAAATGCAGGAACAATATTTTGAACCCCTTGTGACGAAAGAACAACTGGAAGAAAAGATGAAGAGCATAAGGGAGCAAAAGTGTCGTGTAGTGACCTGCAAAACAGTGAGTGCTGTGACCAAAGATCATACTATTCCTTCTCTTCATAATCGGAACATTTTAGCATACGGACTATGTTTTATTTTGTAAAGATTTTGAAATCAGTGCAACAGTATAGCGTGCACTTATGTGCATTTTATTTTAATGTTAACCCCTTAAGGACCAAGCTTCAGATGATTGCCTTTCAGTTAAGGACCAAAGCAATTTTTGCCATGTGTGTTCCACCACAATCTCCATCTTTTTTATTTCTTGCACAACACATACCATATACCGTTTGTTAAATGACAAAGGGCTTTAATTTGATGTGACATATACAAGTTCTCATATATTATACAAAAAAAAAAGGTTTGTTACAGTTTTGCGGATACTAATGTGTACATAATGCCGCTTAAGAAAAGTAATTCAAAATAAATTAGTTTATTTGTCCTGATTTACAGAGTACATGATATGTCTAGGACTTCAGTTCATTTTTGGTAGTTACAGGTCACAATTTCAATGTGGAACAATTCTAGAATTCAGTATGTTTTTGTCTTCAAAGTTTAATCGCTATCACAAAAAACAAAAATGCCACACAAAAGGACAACTATGAGGAGTGAAAATCTCTCACCCTCCTAGTTCGAGCCGACAATGAAACTGTCACATGTCGGCTCAATAGTTCGAGAAGTGAGCAAACGCATACCGTTGCTCGCTCACTTCTCGATCATGTCCCTGCAGAGAGCCGTGACTGTCAATCACCACTCCTTGCCGGGATCCCCCCGCGCCGATCCTCCAGCGCTGACTGGCGGAACGGACGGCGAGGGGGCGGGCACAGCTGGCTCTGCCTCCTAGATAGGCAGAGCCAGCTGTCATTCACGCAGCTGGGTGGATCTCGACAGCAATGTTGGGATCCGTCCCGGCTGCGGCGGTCTCAGTATAGCGCGAGCTACTGAGCTTTGGGTCACGAGAGGACGCTAGTATATGTCTTCTCATGACCCTTAGGAGAACTATGGGGAAAAACACTTACCCCAGAGTTCTCTTTAAGGACCCATGACAGAATTATTCCCTCATGGGCCCTTTTAGCACGGACAACCATAGCGGCATTATTCCGTCATTGGTCCTTAAGGGGTTAAACACACAGGTTGGAATCCAGGCTCATTCCTTCTTAAGGTATTAACTTATACACATTTAAATGTTTATAGGAACTTATGATCAAAAGCAATGTACTTTTAACGACACACTAAACCTATAAACATAATAGTTATAACATAAATGAATTGACCAAAAAGAAATGAATATGGGTAACAAACATATTTCTTCTACTGGAGACCCCAGTTAAGATTCTCTCCTATAGAAATTCTGAAATATTTTGTGATTTTTTTTTTTTTTTAAGCACTAGCTGTGTGTTTTACAATGCGTTCACCTTTTAGCAACATTTCCGATCATTATGTTTGTGTAGTAGTCTTGAATATGGTGTAAAATCACATTACGTGCACTAAAAGTGACTGGAGCTCATTTTCTGTGGTCATGTAGTTTTTGCCCTTTTTCTGGTTTAATTTGCTCTTGTGCCCATCCTTGGAGTTTCATTTTTTAGAGCGTGCAGGGGTGATAAAGCCATGTGTGTCCCTAGCAAGGAGATTTTCTCCTCACTAAAGGTCCTGATGACCTCATAGAAAGAGATTGGTAATATCCACACTGGGGTACAAAGATAACACCTAAGCACCTGACATTTTGTTTTGTGCCTTCCTCACCCCAATAACAACAAAACAAGTTGCATCCTACGTTGGTTGCAGCCACATTGTCTTCAGATACTGTGGAAGGCAAAATTGATGGATTTTTTTTTTCCCCCACTTGTGTCAACAGTGCAAGTACACTCACTATAAACCCCTAGATACCTGCGTAAGTGAAAATCATGACTTCCACTGGCATGATGGTGTGAAACGTTTCTTCAAATGTCCATGTGGTAACCGAACAATCTCTCTAGACAGACTTCCCAAGAAGAGCTGCAGGTACGAGTCTCCTAAATCACATTTTATGTCTTCGTGCAGGATCCTTTTTTAGTCTGACGCAAACTTGTTACAAAGATCTCAGAATTGTTGTGGTTATATCTGTGCTGCTACTTATGTGGGTATCGAATCCTGGTGCCCAGCACGTCGGCCTTAATATGCAGCCTGCCGAGTGTTGGGCAGCACTTAAACTAAAGCCTCTGCTTCCGGTGCAGTGTAATCAATAGCAGATGCCAGCGCCATTACAAGCCCCCTATGTAATGGCATGCTAGTGGTGAGGGGGTACTCTTTATTCACAACTAATGTCACCTTTCCACTCCAAATAAGCTAGTTCTGCAGCCGAGTAATGACAGCTGAGGGGACTGTCCCATTCATCGAGGAGATCAGTGAATGGATGTTTGCTGGTCTCTTATCCCGCTTCCTGGCGACCCCCGAAATGCTGGTCCCGGGCCCGCAGGAGGGGCAGTGGAGCACGGGAAGCAAGGCGAGAGGGGTTGGGCAATGCACTGAGCTCAGCCGCCAAAGGCGCTTCCATGTAAAGTCAACAGTCACCTTTACACATGTAAACAGAGTTGCCAGGAGTCTGTTTAAAGGAGCCCGTTGCTAGCGACATATGACATACGTCGGTGGCAGTGAAAGTGTTAAAGCATCCATACCAATTATTACAGTTGGGAAATTAATCGGATTAAAGTAGCAAGCTGGGGTCCTATCTCTGCCTCTGGGTTCTTAATTTGTAGCCCTGTTATTCTCGGTACTGGGTAGGATTATTTCTTTATATTTTTGAATAAACCTTGACTTCCTTGATTGTTTGATTTTAAACATATTTAGTTGTAATGGAAAAATGTCTAACTGTGGTTTTTTTTTGCTTTTCTTTTTCTTCTTCCCCAGCACCTGCGGGTTGTTCAAATGGGAAAGAGATGGCATGCTTAAGGTGGGTGTACTTCATCAACTGTTTCAACTTGATCAAATCGATTTTCAGCTTTGTTTTATAGTTTATTCCCCAGACACCCATAATGCAGGATGACAATACACTACTGAGGAATATTACTGGTTGTATATAGTACAGTGGTTCCATTCTGTCAACTAATATGGATAGGCTCATGTGGAGCTAAAAGAACTGTTCCAATGTGGTCAGACTGGTGTAATTGTACTGAACGTGTGCCCCTGATCATTGGAACTGATAACAGTACTTTATTCCTCTGTGTACTAGTAGTATTGTGGGGGGGAGCAGTATAGTACAGAGCTCTTCTCTTGTCAGATGGAATGATCTCTGAATTTAAAGGAGGGAGTATTTGAAATGATAAGTAGATTTTTTTGGAAAGCATTATCACCTTATTTGAACAACTCCTGCCTGGTTTTCCAACATGCTCGGAGGCATTTGCTTTTAGATTTCTCATTTTAATGCAGTATGCTCTTTATTTTTATTTTTTTGCCAATAGGAAAAACGAGGTCCAAAAATTGGAGGGGAAACGCTGCTACCAAGAGGAGAGGAACATGGCAGATTTCTCAATAGCCTTCAATAGATGGGGTACATACCTCACAATTAAAGCAGAAATCCAGGATTTTTTTTTTTATCTGGAGTGTTGGACATTGTGTATTCAGGCCAGATTCTATAGCCGTACCTACTTCTAGCGCCACAGCTATCATACTGAAGTCACACTGTCGCTTGTCTGGCCTTCCTTTGCCCATGCACAGAACACTTTGCTTACTGTCTACCCATTCACAAAATACAAAGCATTCTGGAAAAGTGCAAGGGGAGAGAGCGGCAGAGAAACACTGCGGCTTCCGAGTATGATAGGCCACAGCTGTCAGAGCCGCTCTGGCCTCAAGAAGTATAAATCTTATAGTAACCACAAGGCTACTTTAAGGTGACATGTACATCTTAACACTTATATTTACACTGCAGATTAAAAACAAATCCTGCAGGTATTTAATTAACTGGCTGCCTTTAAACAATATGATTTGGGTTTGAAAAAGGCATTGGAGTAAGGATCCTGAGCAGCCCCTGGAGTCCCATCAAATTCACACCATGTCCACTGAAGACCGATATTCTAGTTTGCTTTTCCAAGAAGAAGCCAAGTATAGCACAAGGCTGCTAGGATATGTTATGGGCTTTATCAGTCGTCCCTTGCCCACTAACTCTAAAGTGAACTTGTCTCAGTAAATATGGAGCTGCCAAAGCTGAACTCCTGTAAATGGCGGCAGCCTTACTTATGCAGATCCAGTACTTTCATTATTTAACGTCAGCGACTCGGAAGAAGTGTGGAAATCAGAAAGGTACAAAGTCCTTGTATAGATCTCTGCCGGGACTACAAGTATTAAAGCTAACTGGTTGGCATGTCTGACTGGAAACAAACATTTTCAGAGGTTAGCAATGGCAGTCTATCCGTTTCTCCCTTGACTGCTTTCCTTTTTCATTTGGTTTGACTTTTTAGTGTTTTTATTATGTTGGCACAGCTGATGACGAGTCTGTTTACTTTGTGGGATGTAAATGTCAATATTATGTGAAATGGCCAGAAAACCTTCCTGTGTGGACAGCAGAAAGCATTTTACCTTTTTTAATTTTTACTGTGAAGCAGTAGACTTGTATGGTCACTATTGTAACGAATGTAAATTATGTATATGTTCTTTTGTGATTTTTTAACCTGCTGCAAATGAATGCAGTGCACTGCTGCTACGTATGTATTTATGTATACCATTTTATGTTATTAAACCATCTCAGACAATACTTTTCCTGTTTGTTGTTTATCATCTCACCCCCTTTAATAGCGGACCATGGCCTGCACCCTTCTTTATTTTCCATTTACCAAACACTTTGTGATCTCCAAACCAAAGTTCATGATTTGTCAACTCCAAAAAGCATTTGGCTGCAGTAAATGCTAATAAACGGGTTACTATAAGGCCTCATTCGCGCTTATACGTGCGTACTGTCCCATATGCAGCATATGCAAACAAATGGCTCCATACACATAGCTGCATATGGAGCCGTATATTTGCGTAGCGTAAAAAGGCGCAAAAGCACAATGGAACCGAGATGCGTCTGAGCAGCGTATTTCTGCGTATTCTACGCATGTTCGTGCGCGTATACGCATACAGTTCATTAAAATTTCTATTACAAATTATACATTCTGGGATTGCATATAGTGCACGCATATACGCAATATACAATTTTGCTCCTGCGTTGTGTGTGAATGAGGCGTAAGGGTTCGCAATCTTTCAAGGTACAGCAACATCAATGTTTTCTCTGTTTTTGTTAGACTGTTGGTTGTTGTTTTGGGGTTTTTATCTCAATTTCTATATTTTCTATATATACTATCCTTGTAAAATATGATATGGTCTTCATCTTAAGGGTCCAAAAACCTTTTTCTCAGATATAATTTTAAGGAGACCTGGATGAAACTATTCTTTCTAGCCGGCTGTTAAAACAATGTACAAGATGGATAGATCTACATACAGAGCTATATAAATGATCGATCCATCTATGCAGCCTACTAGTTGTCTGGTAAAAACACTTTCACATTTACAGACCAGTTCTAGTCCTTTACATGGGGACTGCATTAGGTATAGACGTAGAAATATCTTGCCGCACTCCTTACCGGGAAGCCCCAAATTAAGGGTGGCGTGCTCGCAGTGACCACGGATGGCGCCGCCAAACAGTCCTAAATAAACGGATGTCACCAGCACACCAATAGTATTGAAGTCCAAACTGTTCGTTTTTTGGAACATCATGTCGCCAGAATTAGCGCTTTCGGGGCCACGAATGGTCCCCTTCATCAGGCTCAGCAATGACGAGACTGATGAAGGGGACCCTGCGTGGCCCCAAAAGCACTAGTTCTGGTGACATGATGTTCCAATAAACGAACACTTTTGACTCCAATACTATTGGTGTGCTGGTGACATCTGTTTATTTTGCATTAGGTACAGAACATCCTGAATACAAGTTGCACTAAACGGATCTGTGTCTACCATGTTTGGGATAATGTGTACATTAAGCTATCTGCGCTGTCTGTCCTATATATGATGTGTTTTGCATTGTATTGCTTTATGTTAATATAGTGGTATCTACTGGTACTTGGAGGGGAGTGTTCTGCCACAGCAGTGCTTGTGCCTTTGGTATGCCCCCCCTGTTTATATCTAGTTAGTGCACTATTTAGCTGGATACTCCCTGCTCTGTGTCCCAAATTAGTTTGTTTCATTAGAGATAGTGCTTAGGAAAGTCATTGGTGTCTTACAAATCAAAAGACTGGAAAACCATCTTCTGTAGCTTGCTTTGTTTAGTAAAACTGTATTGGATTTAACTTGTGTCTCATCAAAGAGTTGGTGTTATTGTGTTTATTGTTTAAAAAACTGTATATGTAACACCATACCTCATAGTCTTCTGCTATAACTGTCCCCTTTCTCTCTCCACCCTATGTTTGCAGCACAGACTTCAGACAAAATCTATATCTTTGTTATATCTGCCTATAGGGTGGCTCAGCTGCCATTCAGGATCTTCCTAGAGCCACCCTGACATGTATAATCCTGGCAGTGAATACAAAGGTTTGGGAGGAGTGTTCACTATTAGAGCGGGCACATGTTGCAGTATGGGCTGGCGCAAGGATGCAGGAGGCTCCCCTGATCGGATAGGGATGCGTGCGCCGTATGGCCTGGGTGTGAGTAATCTTGGCATGTTTAGTCCTGATGCAATAGCCACCTGACTCTTATTAGGTGGGCTGGCATGCGCAAAGACAGAGGAGAGGCTGGGCATTAGGAATCATGGGACCTGTAGTCCCAATGTAGATTACGTGACACTACAGTGAGTGCTCCCAGATCCCAAAGTTTGGGGAAGCTCTGCAAGCTGAAGCTGGCAGTATTGAGGAGTACAAAATCTAAGTATTTGCGCACACACACACATGCAGTAGCCAACTAGGGAATGTTTCCCTATTTGGTTAGAATGCAGCCATTCAAAAATATGTGGAGGGAGGCTCCTTTAAGCGGTCTGTGGATTCTGCTGAATCAGCAAGTGGCTATACTGTCCAGACAGATCAATATATGGAAGTTACATCCGCTGCATAAAGCACCAGCTGAGACAGAACAGTCTCTATGAAAGGAATGGCTGTTCACCTTGCAGTTAGAGATGAGAAGCATTATTCATTCCCCTGAACTTTCAACAAACTAGAGATTTGGGTGGAGATTCTGACTACATGCATTGGAGTACGTGTGGAAGATGAAGATTGACAATGCGAAAAAAAAGTCCAATTTAAATCAGTATAATCAAATACAGTAAAAAAAAAAAAAAAGAATTGAACTAAATGACTAAATCCAGGCCATCAAAAATTGGGAGTTTCCACTCGAGTTCCCTGAAATCATTCCCATCACCCCCTACGTGTAGTGAAAGACTTTTAGTAGAATGCAAAAAACGTTATGGTGTTATTGAGGCCTAACTGCATGCGTTTGAGACAGATAAAGGATTCCACAGAATGCCAAGAGCTTATTAAACAGGTGTCATTTATAATCGTTCATCTCATTACATCACTTTTTATGACAACACTGCTTTGGGAGGTTTTAATCCTACCAGTACAACAAAAAAAAAAACAGAAAACCATTTTGATTACTATGTGACGGCAGCCAAACAAATCGATACAACCGTTTTAGTTCATATCGCTTTTTTTTTTTTCTCTGATACGATCTCAAAGATTTGTAAGAGTTCTCTATACACTTCAAGATTCTTTGTAATTAAACCCATTTTAAATACATCACGCTACAATAGCATACCTACTACAATCCAACTGTGGTGAATGCAACATATTACGACTTCTGCTTATCCTCGTATGATCATATGTTTACCATTGTACATTAATGTCTATATACTATTCAACCTAAATTTAAACTGATTATGCATTGCATTGTGTGTGGGTCCCACAGCTATTAAATACAAGATGCACTGGCAAGCTGGTATCTGTCAAACATTTTTGTTTCCTGCAAGCAAGATTCAGAGAGAGAACAAATTTTACAACAGAAAAAAGAAATTAGCCTACAAATAATACAGTAACCTGGCGAGGAACGTACAGCTTGTGCTCATTGGATATTAGTACTCTAAAGTGAAGATGCTGTTACAGCAAAACTGTTATGTACATTCATTCTACATTCTCTTAAATGTTTTGACGCTGGTAAATGTAGGAAGGGGAGAGTCCGTCATAGTGCCACTGACGCCACTGTTCAACCTGTTCACGAGTGCGTTCTTCTTGCTCTGTAGGCAGATTTGAGAAGCAGATATTAGTAAATCATTGATACTGACATATGATTAGGAGATGTGTTTAGTCTTTTGAACTAAAGAAGATTATTAGTATACAGGATTTATATAGCGCCAACAGTTTGTGCAGCGCTTTACAATACAAGGAAGACATTACAATCGCAATACAATTCAAGACAAAAATTTTAAGGAGGGCTTACTCAGGAGGAGTTTTTTTTTTTAGGGTTAGTCCACCCAAAAATGATGCAAGTGGAGCCGATTCAGGCCCTGGTTTCTCGAACACTACAGCAGTGAGATCACATTGCACTTTGAAATATGTTAATTACATTCTCTTTATTTTCTGTTCAATATCTTTTAAGAAAATAAAAAGCTGCAGTAGGTTCATTTTTAAGGGAAGGTCCACACTACCCATTTATCTAGCTAAAATAATGCATTAGCGGTAACTTGCTGTCATGTGGTTTGATGTTTGTTTGCCAAACAAGTTACATTAACCTAACCAAAATCACTATTGTAAGAATTGTGGGAAATGATCAGCCCACTGAAATCTGGTATTGCAGTTTTGTAAGAGATGCTGGAGGGTAAACCACCTGTGAATTTCCTATTTCCAGGCAACTCACCATGTCACCAAGAATGGGTTGAGCTTTGCCTCTGAGACTAGTAGGACAGCTCCCTTGAATAGCTATAAAGCTCTTACCCTCATAAACAGCCGCAATTCTTTTTTTTCTGTCCTGAGACTAAAGTAACTGGACATGGGTACATGGGTGAAGATACTGTCATGAGCACCCACACGGGTTAAGCCTCTCCTCGTATGATGGCTCGTGTCATTCCTAAAATGGTTTTCCTGGGCACCTTGTAGTATGGTATTTTGATGCTGGCATAAATTGCTGCACTTTTTTCTGCTTGTTTTCCGCTCTTGTGTTTCCATCTTTTCTCTCCTTTTTTTTTTTTTTCCCTCTTGCAATCTGGGCCTCATGGGGATGCGGGGGCGCCAGACTTACAGTACCTGCAGGACCGGGTGGGTGAAGGATAGTGTGGATGGAAGAAGAGGAACTGGTGGCATTAACGGAATATTTAAATCTGGTGGCCCCCATTTCTATTGCTTCTCAACCTCTGAGCTGCTGTCTTCCTGCATATTAGTCAGTAGGTATACGATTAGCGCATTAGTGATTGTCTTTTCTGCATCATCCATTGGCCCCCTCTCCCTCTTTCCTTATATGTTTGAGTCTAGTGTTCTTCCTTGCTTCACCTGGAAAAGCCATGAGCACACCACAGTGTCAGCATGAGTATTCCAGGAGATACAGATGGAAGTCATTCTGCGCAGAGGAGTGCAAATAGGGCTGACTGGTCCATGTAAACACAAAAGTTGCTTTGTCATGTGCAGATGCCCACTGATCAAGTTCGCCTCAATGCCACCACAAAAAGAGCATTAGGTCAAGCCCACCATCTAAGAGACACCTTTCTAGAGCATTATATTCCCCGTGGGGAACGAAGGTGTCCCTGTGTCTCATCAGCCATGAAGTTCTCATCTGAACTCATTGTCATTCTGCTGTTAGTTCCCAAGAGGGGTTCTGTTAGGCTTGTGCCGATCCAGAAATGCTGGTCAAGAAGGTTTGTGAGGAATGTCTCAGACAAGCAGTCCATTTCTCAGTTAACAGAATCAGAATTAAAATTAATTTAAAAAAAAGCAGTGGCAGAAAGTATGTAAAGTTTTATGTCACAGTCTAAGGGACACCTCTGCTCCAGTGGCAACAGACACAGACCTGTCTGAAAATGATGAAGGAGCAGATTTTGCTCACACTTTTGTGTTTGCATTAGTCTCACCATACATTCAAGTTGTCAAAAAGGCTATAATGTGCGATGAGTAGCCATGAGAAAATCAAGTCAGAACATGTTTTCCCCTGTTGGAGAAGCCAGTCGCTTTCCCACTCTTTGGGAATAAAAATCTGCTAGCTAGAGCATGAGTGGGCAAGGCTGGATGGGAAAAATGTCCTTCCAGAACAGGTTTTCTGAACTGTATCCTTCATTAGATAATAGATGTCTCCTAATATGGACGCATCTTTAATGAGATTGGCTAAACATGTTCCCTTACCGCAGGATACTGAAAAATCCATGCGGCAGCGGCTTGAAACCATCCATAGCCCTCACCTCAGTTTAGAGAGCCTTAAAAATCTGGGTGGACAACATAGAAAAGTTTTTTTTAAAGCAAATGTGGATTACACAAACTTTATCACAGCCTTGTCAGAGACCAAATTAACATCAGACTTCCTGGACGTTACATGAATTGTTTCAAGCTGCTTTCAGTAATGGCTAGAAGAGCTTTATGGCTTAAATGGCAGATTTTTCCTCAAAAGTTGGGTCTTTGCTTTATTTCCTATAACTAAAATTAACTTTTCTGATTCTCGGTGACATGGTGAGGCGCCTGGAAAACAAAAATCAAATACTTAACAAAATGTATCTTTCTTGGCGCATCACCATGCCGCCTCTAGTACCCATCCAGTATTTGGATTCTTGGACTATATCATCAGAATGTTGGCTGCAGAATGTGGGCTGTCCTATGGGTTTTGGGTGCGCAACCCATTGGTGGTGAGGTGCCAAGAAAGTGAGTATATTTAGGCTATAGAGAAACAGTAAATGAGTTCATACAGGAGATCCGCAATGGCAGCCTTCGTATATTTCTCTGTAGACATTTCCTTATCGGTGTAGGATCCCAAAAAGCTGTTTAAAGTCTTTCAGGCTACTATTCAGTAAATCTATTTTACTGTTTGGTAAATAAATATTTGTAATTTTAAAGGATACGAATAGTTGGTTTCGAGTAAAATGTTTCTAAATCATACCAACAAAGTCATTTTAAACAGTTTGCTGTACATCTTTTATGCAGGTTTGGTTAGTAGTGTAACAATAGCTTTCAAGCAAAGCCAGTAGTAAGCTATTCATAATATGGTACTCTCATTTCTGCTGATTGGTGGCATTTGGTGTTGCTGCCATGTTTTGGAAGACGGGGGGGTTAAGGTTATTGACGGGAATATCGTAAATGTATCTTAATGTATAAATCAGACAATGCATACCCGTTTCTTCTTGTTTTGCCCCATTATGCCTACCTATAAATATGATGAAACTGGCACACTGGTGTGTTTTTTTGCGTGTAGAATTGACTTACTTTAATTTCCGCCGATTTGTCAGATGTCACTTAAATACAGTCTAACCAGTCACAGTGGGAGAGGTGGTTTTTAATGCTGGGTTTGGATGTTTACCTTCTCACTGTGGTCCACCGAAATGTTATGTTCCCATTTCCTCTACCTTCTTGAAGATTAACTGCAGTGCTCTGGAGCAATTCATTGAGGTTTTAAGTCTTTCAAGCATTAAGCCGTATATGTGGCATTAAGCAGTTTATGGTGATCACTGAATATACTAATGTATTTTACCAAATTTGAGTACCCAGTTGCACAGCGCGCACTACATGGGTTGCTGAATGGGTTAAGCAAAAAGTGCCTGACTTTTGGGTAAAAATGTAGGTCCTTTAGCATGGTATCTGAATTTTCCCCAGCCCATATACGGAAATAAACATTATGCCATCCAGAGACAATTGATATGAGGTTTTCTAAATCAGGTTGTGCAGGGTACCTAATCAGTAATGGGTAACTTTAAACGCTTGCGTCTGGTATGAGTAGTAAGTAGTCATACTAAATGATCCAAAATTCATGATCTGAAGTGGTATATGGAATACTCTTTGGATGATATGTGATACAGCATAAACTCTGCAGTACCTAGCAGTCTCTGATTCAATACGTTTCTACTTTCAGCATTTAATTGCATCTGTTTGCTTGTTAATTTCCTCTTAATCTATTTAGAAGAAAGCACATTTGTATATAATTTATGCCAGTGGGGAATGGACTGGATTATGCTTCTTACTCTTCCACGGAGAAACACAGAAAGTCATATACTGTCGGGTTATACTGCCGCCTAGAGGAGGATTGGGCACTGGCAAACAAAAGATCTGCAGGATAACCCCTCCTCTACCTATCATGCCTCAGTTTTGGACAGTGTGCTAGGAGGATGGACATCTTTACTTCATCTCTAGTGGGAATAGTCTAACCATTTTTTGCTAGCTTTTTCTTCAATCAAGATTCCTCACTACATAACTGTTTGAGCTGGTCTCTGTAAGGCAACTATCTGAATTGGCCCTTTCTCCGCCTAGCTTTGGAGTGCCTTAATTGGACCCTGCTGGACTCAACATTGTGGGGTTAGCCTGGAAGTGAGTTTCGGGGCACTGGGCTCCACATTGAGTGCTTTCCAGGTCCAGAGCCACTGGCATTGCCTCTGCTCTTGCCCTGGCTCTGAAGACTCACTGTGTGAGTAGGCCAATCGGGCTGAGCACCAGGACCTACCTTGCTATTTACACCACTGGGGACCTTTGAATTTGCCTCTTTATGCCGGTTTTACAGAACAAGGGGGTTAAGGGCAAGGGACAGACCACTAACATAATTCACTGGCTAAAGTGTTGCACGCGTGTGCTCTGCTATTCAAAGTAGAGGAAGGATCGTTCCTCTGCTGCTCCTGCTTTTGCAAAAGAGTCATGTAAAACTCTGATCTCTTGGCCCATTGCTACTGCCCGTCTACAGTGACCTTGGTACCTACGGGCGTCATCCGGTACCAGCTACATGGGTTTGTAAGGGAGTCATCCGGTACCAGCTACATGGGTTTGTAAATGCCTGAGGTTTTTCTTTGTACCCTGAGTTCTACCACCATGTGGTCCAAACATGTCTGTATCTAGACACAGAGGTGGTGGTCCCACTGCAACAGGTGACCCCCCCAGCTCACGGACTCTTAATGATTCTAAGGACATTTATTCTATGCCTTCTGTAATATGGGATCTTGCTACACTGTGGTTAAAGGGTCTACCTCTTTGGAGTCCCCCATAGCGTGAGCCTTGTCATCAGTAGTTTCTACTGCTGTCACACCATGCTTCATGACCAAGTCATGTGCTACATTCTACTTCCATCTCTGCCTACCCTTGCTGTGGTGTTTTCTATGCACCTTACCCCTTCATTCATGCTGACTTTGTGGAATTGAATACAGGGTTCTCTGGGGGAGTGATTTACAAACCCTTTGTAGGTTGTTTGTAGTCAATTTCAGGTTCCCTGATAAGTCTTGTTCTGACAAGGTGGTTGTCTGCTGCGACAATCTCCTGAGGTACAGAGTTCTCATTTCTTGACCCTTATGGGGTCAGGTGAGTAGAGACTTAGGGCCTTCTTACTCAGACTGGCTGGTCTTGTGTTTACAGTACTTTTTTACAGTAATTTCTTGTCTAGTACCTGTTCCTACTAGGGACTTAATTTCTTTCCTATATTACTCATGTTTAGCTGTGGGTAATTCCTTCCCCGAACAGGAATCTGTAGTTTGTTCCACCCCTTGGTGGGTTCAGATTCAGTCCCCAGTTCTGTTTTGTTGAAAACGTGAGCAGTTGTTGATTTTTGCCTACCCCTCATTTATACTCGCCTTTAAAATCCTTTTCTTAGACATCCATTGAAGGACACAGGTCCCACCCCTGTGTGTTTTTGATCATGCCCTTGGTACTTTCTGCTACAAACTCAGGCATGTTGAGTAGAGGAGGTCTTATCCTGGGCTGGCCAGTATCCAGTCCTCCTTTAGACAGCAGTATAACCCAACAGTATGTGACTTCCTGTGTCACTAAATGTACTCCAAGACAATAATTTTATGGTTAGTACTAGGCATAAAGTTTGTGTACATATTTCCATCCATTCCCTCAGTGGCATAACGTATGTCAAAATCCGCTATCATCTTAAGTGAATTAGGTAACAAATAAAAAGTGAACAGATGCCCTGAAGGGCACGCATCAGGCACATACTGATCAGTGATCAGCAAATCCTTACCATCCTGTTCTTCCTCTACATAGTTCTCAAACTCATTCCTCTGCTCCTCGTAGTACTCCCTCCTGCGTTCATCTGCGGACAGTCTCTGCCGGTTCTCAGCTGAAACAAAGTACATTTTTGTTACAGTATATAAATATCTGCACATTTGTTTTGCAACAATCGGAGACACCTGACCATGAAAAGTGTTCCAAATGAACCATATAATAAGCAAAAGTAATCTATTCCATAGCAACTACTCACATGATGTGACAGAACATAGCCATGTGCCCTAGCATTACCGTCTTGCTGGACTTGGGAATCACTAATGTTGTGAGTGTTGGAACATCACCAACATACATAAGGTGACCATAGGCTTAATAATTTGGCCACATGGCCAAAGTCAGGCTCAGACTTCTTGATTTTTAAAACATTTGGCCATACACATGAGAAAGCGCATGTGATGCTGAAGACAGCACCCAATTGATATTATTGGCACATTGATGTAAACTATCACTCCAGAGTCCAGCCAAACCTGATATTTCAGTTTGGGTAGATAGAAGGGGTGGCTTCATTTACCCAGCAGCAAGACCTCCTTACTCAAGTCCCAGATCAGCCCACACAACAAGGCCATGACAAGAAGCCGTTTAGAGTTTTAGTTGGTAGAGTGCTGGACTCCAATTTTAATGGAGATTCTGATTGGATCCCATGTTACTAAACTGTGCCAGCTCTCTAATGCCCATCGGATGGAAAATCAGCTTACGTGGAATGAAATGAAGAGCGACAAACTGTAGAAATCGGTCCAAATACATTTCTTACAAAAAAAAGGGTCAACGTGTTTCAGGGCTGTCAACTCTTCAACAGAACTACTATATAAAACTTCTTATTTATTATTGGTATTCATTTAGTGCCGACAATGTATGCAGCACTTTACATACTGCACATTCACATCAGTCAAATTAAAGAATGTGCTGCGCTTCATCTAGAACAATACATAAACAAATCTCTATAATAAATATGTGCTTAAATAATACATGCAATCAAAAAAGTGTTCACAATGAATCTTCTTGTGCATAATAGTCCTCTGGAAAGTTCAATCATATATTTCGTGTTCAAATATACACAAATGTGGAATCACACGTATGTAGTGCTCAGGATTTGTCCCAAGTGCACCACACTCTTTATCCTTCCACTGTGAAAGTTCTTTGTACAAAGTCCATACGTCAACTCCAATTATGACACAGGTGCTTCCCCTCTCAGTGGGCAGCTCACCCTATAAATAGACCTGAACAGGTCTAGAATCGCTTTAATGGGTCTCCAATCGATCTTATGCAAAGGCCATCTCTCCACAATCGTTGCACAGAAAATGACGTCAGCGTGTCATCACGACCATATCCAATAAAATGTAAAAACAGCCCATAGCGTAAAACCGAAAAATTAAAAAACCTCCTTTATTTTTAAAAACTACTCACATGAGGAAAGTAGACATAAAACTTCAAATAAAATGTATGCTCAACAACTCTCTCTCCGTGTCACCGTGTTCTCTGGGTGCAAAGACAGATCAAATAGGAGCTGTGCTGCTGACGGTTTTACGCTATGGGCTGTTTTTATATTTTATTGGATATGGTCGTGATGACATGCTGACGTCATTTTCTGTGCAACGATTGTGGAGAGATGGCCTTTGCATAAGATCGATTGGAGAATCTTGGTGATTAAGAAAGGCCTAGACATGTAGTTCATCCTTAAAATGGACAGCTTGCACAACTTCAACGATACAAATTTTAAAAACACAAGTTCCATAAAGATGTAACAAGAATAAAACAAAGACTTGCATTTAGCAGTAGCGTTCCGTGTATGCTTTCATCGCAGCTATGGCCGAAGGAGAGAGCCTTTTGCAAATAGCTGTGTTGTCCTCGCCCAGATCCTATGAGCTATGTAACGTGAGCTGAAGGTGACAGCACTAAACCTGCTTTCTCCATGCTGCCCTGCACCTCCTGCAGCTGCCCAGCACACAGCACATACTTTCTGCTGAGCCCAGTAGACGCTCAAGGAGGAGAAAGAGCCCTTCATTGTACAGTGTAATGCAAACAGCCCTGGAGGAAGGGGAAATACTTCCATAGCTATCAGACCATGCACAACATGTCCAATAAACTGTCTACACTACAGGTTCAATTCATCCTCTTTCCACCTCACTTTAACTGGGCACTGGTCAAAGAAACAAAATCCATCAGACAAAATACATTTTGTTTTTTATTTCTGATGGTCTTATAGGTATGCATGACAGGGGAGAGCTTAGACCTTCCTCTGAAATAATGTTACATAGTAGGAGATCATGTGGGATAGTAAACATGATATATAATTATACTAAGTATAAGAACTAGCTTTCATTTTCTACGCTAGAACAATGACAGTTGGAATGCAGTTGCCAACACCTCCACTTTCTTTTTAGTTTTTATATACATAACCCTAACAATTACCTACAATGCCAATTGCTGCTATCAGTGTATGTTTTAAAACAAATCACTAACTTTGGAATGGATAAGGTCAGCATGTGTGAATCTGAGTTCCCTTAAGATATTATTCTTCAGCATTCCCTTGAACTTGTTACTTTGCAATAATTTGGCAAAATGACAGGTTCTCTTAATAGTCTAACCCTCCTCCCACTGATTAATGCCTTTCCCATGCTCCTCTGCTGCCCTGTTCACCCACCAGAGGCCTAGAAAAGCTGAAAGTTGGTCCATGCCAAAGCCTTCTCATGGCTTATACTACCCCGTTCCCCATACTCCAACATGACAGTGTACAGGCCTATGGGTTGGCTGATCAAGTGCTAAGCACATCATCTTGTAAGAAAGGGGGAGAAGGTCACATGCTCTTCCAAACCCAGAAGTACCTAGAAAATCCTCAGGGACCATGGCAGGTAAACAGAGTAGTGAGAAAGGTGAGTATCAGCTGGAATGAGGTGGTCTTATAAAGTTATATTACAATGTATGCAGAGGCAATGTATGTAGCTGTATTCCATATATGTGGCTGTAAATAGTTTGAAATGGGCAGTGTTTCACTGAATCCTGTAATGTTTGGGGGAAAAAATCTGCAAGTCCCTGGTACATCTTAATTAGACGGGAGGGGGGCAGTGTGTTGTATGGTATGCTCTGTACATTTCATTCCCGTATAAATGAAATAAAATCTTCCAGCGCCCTTCTAGTGCATTCGGTTCATTTAGAAGCATCTTTGTAAGCAGAGGCAAGGCAGGAATGCAGTCTAGTAATCTATCCTTACAGTGACAGCAGGAATCCTGGACAATTTCAAGGAAACCGTGGGACAGAAAAACAAACAAGTTTCCACAAAGCTAACACCCTCACCATTGATTTCATCCTGGGACTTGGTTGATCTCTTGCCACGTTTCTTGAAGAAGTTGGAAGCGTCGGTTCCCGGCACGAAGATCTTCTTCAAGCCTGGAGTGAAATTTATATTATTAGGTTCAGTTTGTAGAATGCTGTATTCTCCCGTCATTTACTGTTCTTGTAATTATATCACGTGAATGATTCTTTGTCCCTTGTAGAGGAAAAACTATTCTAAAATATAAACATTGTCTAGTATCTGTACTTACTTTCTTTCTTGTCAGCCGCCCCATCATCTCTGCTTCTCACTGCAGCACTTTCAGCCACCTGGAAGACTAGAAAGGGAAAGTTATCGGATATAGTGCTGCTATTATTAGTATACAGGATTTATATAGTGCCAACAGCTTGCGCATCGCCTTACAATATAAGGAAGACATTACAGTTACAATACAATTCAAGACAAGATGGTAAGGAGGGCCCTGCCCATGCTATAATAGATATATAATATATACAGTATATATAAATATTTTTATATATAACAAAACATTCTCAGTAGGTTGTAGTTGGTTGGGAGTGTGCAGTGCTGGCATTTGTAGCTTTATACACTTTTTCACTGACATACTGGATTTGCTGTGAATTTTAATAAAGTCTGCAGTATTGGAATTCTCTGGATAGTGCGGTCTGTTCGTATACTAAAACATTCTCAGTGCCAGAATACCTGACGATAATGCTTATCACAGCTTATCGCAAGTAAGGAATTATTGTAAACCTTTAATTCTATATTAGTATCAAAAGTAAACCTAAACTGCGAGCATGCCAGTCATGTCCTGGATTTTACTAGCATCCCACCAATCTGAGCACTGCTACTCAGCAATGTTAAGAAGAAATAAAGAAATTGAATACAGCCAATGTCTGCAGGCATGTCGAAGATTTCTGACACCTATCAGGTATTGTACCTCTTTGTTCGCCATATGGAAAATGTAATAATCCTTTCAGAGTGTGTACATAGAATATAAGACTGGGGACCTTGGGGACATGACTGGCATAGCAGGGTACATGGTGATAATCACAAACTTTGATACTCTGTCTTTTGTGCATTGACATCTGTCATAGTTTTGTATTGTATTGCAAGTCTTAAGCTAGCTATAAAGGGTTAGAATTTCATATGGACGTTCCGTTGAAAAATCTTGGCAGAACATTCGATAATGCCATCAGACTTGACAATTATTGTTGAAAATTTCATTTGATGTTGACATTTGGTTTTGGATAGGAATTAGTTTCCATACTGCTCCTTCAATTTTTTTTTCACTTACTATGGTTAAAATGAATGATTGATTAGAAAATAGAACTGTTCCAAAAACAAATTAAAAAATAACATTCTAACTGTTTATACCCAGCTTTACTCAGGCTAAAGATCAGCTTATAAACATGTGCAACCGAGCATACATTTTTATACATTGCGCAGATCCCCTGAAATCTGTTTTAGGTCAGGAAAATAAATGTGATCAGCTAATTCTAAACCAGACAATTCTTTCCAAGAAGTCTTCTAGCGTGGGGTTACATGGACAGATTGGGGAGTATCAATATACGTTATCATCTCCCAGTCAGAGCAGGGCAGATCATTGGCTTAGGAAACCATTATCTGCCATCTATGGATAACTCAAATGCAGAATCACTGTTTAGCCAGAGGAATTGTGTTTTAAAATTCGATAGCATATATTTTAGAGTTAGAAGTGTATTTTACTATATGTAACAGTTACACGAAGGAAGCATCCCTTTTAAAAGCACACAAGGATCATTCTAAATTCAGCATCATGCCAAGAAGATTCAAGTTGCATGTTTAATTAATCCCAAAATGAAGATAGACTTCCCTTACCTGCTAGAAGCACCACTGCTGCAGCAAAAGACAGAAACAGGACTTGTTTCCAGTTCATCTTGGCTGAGATTTCTTGACTTGTCAATACACAGCAGAACACTGAGAAAAAGTAGCAAATTCCTCATGTGTCAGATAGGAAGGTGAGGCAGGCAGCTGGGATGAAGGGGAGGAGGAGGGGCATGAGCAGCCAAATACTTTGGCCATAACATGCTCTAAACATCAGAAGAGATGGGGGGCATCGGAGGAAGTGATGAATAAGTTTGTAGCTGAAAACAAAAACAATGTACCCCGCTGCTCGTGTCTCTTCATGAAAATGTCATATTCACTCATTTGTTTTTTTAACTCTGTTTTAATGTTTATGATGTCAGGAGAAATACTGGCACCAAACATAAACAACACTTCAACTTATTTCATATAACATGAACTGGAAAAAAATATACTGCCAAGAAAATCTCTGTTTGAAAAGGGATGTTAAAGCAACATTTAGGGGTCTATTTATAAACAATTCACAGAGCCATTTGTCCTACGAATCCCTGTTAACGTTTGTTCTGTGCAAATAGAGGCAAGGCATATTCTTAGTATATTTTCTTTTCAGGTCCAATGTAACATCAGAAAATACTGCATTATGGCCACTAGATGGAGCTAAGGAGCATAGGAAAGAAGTATTTAAATCAGGGGTAGTGAATTAAAATTCAAGGAGGTCCGACAAGTAACATTTTCATTGAGCAGAGGTCCAAATCCCAGTCTGGACAGAAGGTCACTCAGTCTGTGTTCATAACGTGGTGCGCCATTCAGGCAGCGTTCGCACCAGCAGCTGAACTACAATGCACACTGCTGATGTGTGATCCCAGGCTGATTTTATTCTGTTAGAACCCCACCCCTCGTTTACATACACATGCCATAGATAACACAAAATCCCCTGCACTCCATACAGCATACAGACCTTAACGGAGGGTTGGTGCTTGAAGTGACAACGAGGATGGCGCCGTGTCAGATACAGTCCGTAATAGAAGTCACCAGCATTTGATAAAACGTGCATGAAGTAAAGCGCTTTTTATTAAATTGTCACATGCATCATACAGCCAACGTTTCGGGGCCACGGAGGGTCCCTTCTTCTGGGCGACATAGTGACCAAGTGTAATGTTACGGTCTCTGAGGACGGTATCTAATTGATTTTTGAATGAATCAATATTCTCTGCTGATACCGCTGCTTGTGGCAGAGAGTTCCAAAATGTAACCACTCTGACAGAAAAGAAGCCCCTACGTCCTGTGTGGTTAAATCTTTTCTCCTCCAATTTTAGGTGGTGACCTCTAGTCTTTTATAGGCAGTTTACTGTAAAAGGTTTACTGCTGATGTTGCCATCACCACCAAACATTTTGTACATCAAAATCATGTCCCCTCCTAATCTTCTCACTTCCAGCGTGACAAGTTCAAATTTAGCAACCTCGTCTCATAGCTTTGATCCTCCAGCCCCTGAATTAGTTTTGTTGCCCTTCTCTACACTCTCTCTCCAGCTCCAGGACATCCTTTCTGTGGATTGGTGACCAAAATGTCACAGCATACTTAAGATGAGGCTGAACCAGTGATCTAAAAAAGTGTCAAAAGTATTGTTTTGTCTCTACAGTACATTCCCTTTTTAATGTATGACAGTCATTCTGCATAAAAAAAAAGATTAAAAAAAAGACCCCACATGGGTCTATGGTAGGTTGTGCGGGGTTATTGCTGGGCTGTGCAGCTCTCAGGTGGCTGTGTAGGGTTTATGGTGGGTAAAAGGGTGATTTACCTTATTTACTTTCTTCTGGCATATACATGGTTAATGTTTGAGCAGGAGAAAATGTTTTCTAGTATATGCTACAGAAATCAGTTAAAGGAGGATTATGGGGTAAATGTTTTTCCCCATAGTTCTCCTAAGTGTCACGGGAGGACATAAACTAGCGTCCTCCTGTCACCCAAAGCTCAGTATATCGCAAGTTACAGGCAGGCCCAAATAACCTATGACCACTTCAGAAGGCAGGCTGCACTTAGAGGGAGCCAGAAAAAAAAGCTTCAGCCACCGTGCATGGTGCAGACACAGCATAGAAAATTCCTAGACAAATTAATTAAGAACACTGCGTTTTCAGATTTCATGAAGGACATACAATACTGCGTAACGGTAAAGTTTGTTTCTCCTATTTTATGGTTTCCTAGCAGACCAGTTCATAGACGAATTGTAGGTGGTGGGAGACTACCGTGAGTCGTGTGTCTGGTGTGTGTGGGTGTGTGAGCAGTGGGAAAGTGCTAACACAAGGAATCTAGCTTGTAGGATAGCTTGAGGAATCGCAGAAGTGTGTATAAATCACTTGGCTGCTACACAGCCCCTAGTGTGCACCAGATTGGATGTAAGATTTGTATCTGCATTCTGCATGTGTGTGTTCAACAAGCTAATTTTGGGGTAGTCGCCCTCCAGCGGCAGGCTGTGATATTATAAGCTGTGATGATTGCAGGAGTGTTATATCAGCCCAAAGTAAGCGCCCTCCCTCCTCCTCCACCAGATGAGGAACACTCTCCAGTTAGCGAGTCGCCACGGGCAGGCTCCCCTTCCATGACACTGCATATAAACACTCCAGTTGCTTCAGCTGTATACCATCCTGGCCCCTAACTCAGCCTTCTTGGTCTTCCGTCCTTCAGGTGCTCTGGCATCCTCCCCAAAAAATGGCTGGTAGGTTCATTGACACTTCACCAAATTGTGTGATAGGGTACTGCACTACAGCAGTAAGACTTCAGTATTCACTGTAAAAAAATAGTTTGGTCCAAGACATCTAGTATAAGCATTGTGAGTAATCAGATTTAGAGCCATGGAAAACAACACAGCTGCACTTTGTATGAAAAATAAATGCACAGGTATGTATAGCGCTGCCCAGCATAAGCAAAAAAGGTGTCTCTCTATAATGAAGATCATCATTAAATACAGTACAACCCTGCTACTGGGACCTGCAATATTCTAAATAATAACATGCAGCATAATAATGATCAGCAGTGTGACTGAGGTGCCCTACAATGGTATCCAAATGATAAATTGATAACTGGAGACATTAAATATGAAATCCTTATTCTAATCATGAATGCGGATCTGCAAAACTTTCGAAGACATCGTAATTATACTTTTACAGGGTTATTCACTGAAGAGTGACGAGTTTGGAGAAGGCAGGAGGAGTGAACAATCTAGGACGACATAGCGGAACTGGAAAGTGAGCTGAATTGGAGAATGTTTCCAAACCAGCTATGTTGTCCTAGATTGTTCACTTCTCCTGCCTTCTCCTAACCCTTCACCCTTTTGTGAATAACCCTGTTAGTGTATTATAACCTAGCTACAGGTCTATTCACACCTAAGCATTTTTTCCCAATGTATTTTTAATTCAAATCAATGGAATCGCAGGTCCACGCATGTTAACGCACACCATCATGTGTTTTTCTAATTCACATGGAAAGCATTACTATTGCTTGTTAAAGCATGTCATAAAGTAAAATTGATGCTTGTTGGCGCGTGTCGTCTAGTGATACCATGTCTTATGATGTGTGTGGATGTAAGCCGCTTGCATTTTGATGTGTTCCCATTGATTTTAATGGAAAGCGCTACACAGAAAAATGCTTTTTCATAGAACTAAATACAGTTACCGTGTTTTACTCTCGGAGAAGTTGAAGTAATGGAATATAAATGAGCGTATTTATACAGTCTTAATGCTTCATCTGTGCCTGCTCCCTGCCTCCTGGGGCAGGTTTTCACTGCGCTGAATGTATGGTCTGTATTTGCAGCGTTGGCACAAATATTGTACACTGAATACGAGACTGTGGACTCACTGATCCATCTGAAAGCGGCTATATCCTCTGAGGATGTATCATCACAGTGCCAGGACCTTCCAGCTATTACTGCTGGACAATATATCATTCATCTGCGTATCTCAAGTGCCTCACCTTCTGAGATTGGAGATTTATTATTTCGCATGCCCTCTAAATTTTTCCAGTAAACAAATATTTTATGACAACTCAACTCACTCTACAACACCCGATATTAAGAGATCTGTAAATGATTTGTTCCTAACATTTTCCTTACTAACACCGCCTACTCCTACACTCAGACCTTCTCCTATACTTTGCCAGACTGTCTGGTCATTTCTTTAGAAACACCTCTCATCAATGAAGCATATAATCCATTCTTCTCATATACTACTTCAGCCATTTTGCATTTCCATCTACTGTGCACAGGGTTTTAATTCCCCTGAATTTATCGGTGCCACATTTTCTTTGTCCCCACTTCACTAACAATCTTCTGGAGAGTGATATCTGCCCGTCCGAGCACTTTAATTATGCACAAACATATATGCTGCACACATTAGCATTTTAATTTTCTTGAAGTACATTATGGGACACGGAATTTCTATTCAAGTAAATTGGGTTATGCAGCTACCTACACGAGACTGGACACTGGCAAACACAAAGCTGTAGAACAGCCTACTATAACCCCTTGAACTCCCAGAAAGCCTCCGTTTTGTTAGCAAGCAATAGGAGGAGTGGATCATAACCACAAAGGGGAGGGACCTGCGTCCTGTAGGGTATTCCAAGAAAGGATTTTACAGTAAGTCAGAAATCCTATTTTCTTAATCGTACATTACTCGACAAAGGATTTGTGTTCAAGTACATTGGGAAGCCCAAAAGAAGTCCAACTGAATGGTGGGCAACACAGCAAATAAAAAGTTTTTTCATGGGCCTCTTAGCCCATGAGGTAACAGGTTACCAAAAGTGATTATACAGAGCCGCCTGAATACCCTTATGACTGAAGCTGGCATCAGCTGAGGCCTGGATGTCTACCAGGTAAACTTTAACCTGGAACAGAAGGCCAGGTGGAAACCTGTTAAATCTAAGAAACGGATGCCTGGTACTGAGAAACCCAAGAGGTGCTAACTGATCTAGTGGTGTGCACTTTGATCAGGTAGAAAGTAACCTTGTCTTTAAGGTCATAAGCTGTCAAATCGAAAATGCAAGCTGTCCCCTACAGGAAACTTTAGGAAAGGGAGCTTTGGCTAAAAAACAAACTTGAGCAGCGCATACATCCAGGCAATGGAGGGA